GACAAACGCACTACAAAGTGGAGGCCCAGTGAAGCGTTACTGAATTTCGGTGGTTTCAAAAAGACCATGGGCTTTTTTGTTTTTGGTTGAGCAATGATAGCTAATTGCATTACAATTGTTTGCGGCTGTGTTCTCACTGAGAACCAACACGGATCAAAGCAGTTGAACTATGCAAACCAAAGCTCTATGTATTGTTTTGTTGTGCTGGGATGTGTAGCATTTGGGGTGAGCATATGATACAAGGAAAAAAAGGTTATTTTGTCACTATTCGGTCCATACAATCTATATTTACAGTCATTACTTATTAGAGAGAAGTAAAGCAGGAATACCCAAACAGTGTTCTGAAATTCAGAGGCGGTCAAAATACAGTCCTATCTTTCTATTAGCTATCTTTAGCATTAGCCATCGGCGGGCTTGTGCCACTAAATGTGGGTTGTACAGTCCATGTATCAGAGTGGTTGAAACGCGATAAATTCCAGCACTTTTGTCTCTCTCTCTCTCTCTCTCTCTCTCTCTCTCTCTCTCTCTCTCTCTCTCTCCCTCTCTCTCTCTCTCTCTCCGCAGCAAGAAGACCACCGGTCCCACAGGGGGGAGAGCAGTTGGCATTGAGCAGCTCCAGCAGATGGTCACCCAGTCAGCACCGGCTGTAACTCACATTTGTCTAGCGCAAACCCCGTCACCGGGAGTAACTTTGTGCAGTGGGTCGACAGTGGCGCATGGAGCAGAGACCGCCTAACCGCCGGGAACTGCAAGGTTGGCGGTTCGAGCCCTGGCTGCTCCATGTCCCCTGTTGAAGTGTCCCTGAGCAAGACACCTAACCCCTAATTGCTCCCTGGGCAAAAAAAAATGTATAAAGCCATGGAACGTTTGCAACAGAGTATCATTGACAGATACATGGACGGCCTTGATGGAGCCCTCTCATGTTACGCTGACTGGACCAGGGGTGCCTGGTCAATTGCCAAGGCAGTGCCGGTAGATCACCTGCCATTGAAAAAAAATCTCGTTGGGTAACCATGCATGCATAGTCGACCGTGAGAGCTGATGGAACTTGTCAATACTACCAAAGAACACATTTTTACATTATGGGTAATTTAGCTGACGCTTTATCCAAAGCGACTAACATTGCATTTTTAACCCATGGCTTTTTACATTTTTGCCCGGGGAGCAATTAGGGGTTAGGTGTCTTGCTCAGGGACACTTCGACATGGGACATGGGGGAGCTGGGACTCAAACCACCAACCTCGCGGTTTCCAGCACATTTAATTGTATATAAAAGCAACCCTGGCTGCCTCCAATCATTGCAAGTCGTCCGTGTAAGTGTGTGTGTGGGGGGGGCTGAAAAAGTTTGGGCACTCCTAAACCGGACGCTACAATGATTCTATATTGACTCTTGGGGAACGCCACACAGTGGAATACATAGCGTCAAAGCTGCAACTTCTTCACATTCCATTTATAATATTGGTTGAATGTTTTTTTTCAATCTCAAACTCTTTAATCCTAAAACATTCCTTCTCGAGCCGATCCTTCAAACCATCAACATCCATCACTGTTAAAACAGAGACTGCACTTTATTTTTCAAGTGGATGGCTTTCAAGGTCCATGAAGTCAAACCGTCGCCTGTGGGGTATGTGACCCAAAAGTGACTTTGGATCACTGTGCTCATGTAACAGCTACATGCTGAGTCAATATTCATGTCGGTGCTAAAAGGCTTCCACTATAACAGAAAAACAGTTCCAAAACTGGAACCGCATCTCCCCTGACGCCCCCGCCTTCTCTACGTCTCTTAACTTCTACGCGAGCTATTTTGGCACCGACGGCGCTCATCGAGCGGAAAGACTGGCGGGAGACAGTGGGAAGACGGGGACGACTGGCCAGGCAGACAAGGGGGTTGGGGGGGGGGGGTTTCCTTATGTAAATCGAGAGAGAGCGAGAGGTTGACCTTCCCGAGTAAACACACTACGGGGCAGAGTGTCACATAGTTGGCCGAAGCCCAACTATTCCATCAGCTCCACCATAAATGGTAATGCTCTTTAACCGCGCAGGGAGATAGAGCAGACACCCCCTCTCCTTGTTTGCCTCCACGCTCCCACCCATCCCCTCCGCTTTACCTTCACCTCTGAGTCCTTACACTCTGTCAACCCTATCCAACGCTCCATATAATCATCTCTTTATTCTCGTCGTTGTTTGTGTGTGTGTGTGTGTGTGTGTATTTGTCCCTGTTAGAGATAGGCTGCAGACAGGGAGGTTCTGTTATGTGTCACTGCAGTGAGGGGTCCGGGCCCCGTAGCTCCATTCACAGCTCAATCAGCTGCGTTGGGGGGCAACAAGATGTCCGTGTTTCAAGGGGCACGCGTGCGGACGTCTGATATACTCGAGAGGCCGGTTTATATCTCAGGACACGGGTCACAGCAGCATACTGTCCATGTGAGTGTTTGTGTTTGAATGTGTGTGTTAAAGAATCAGCCAGTGTGCCGGTCCCACACACACATAGAAAAAATATTTTGGAGTATTAGAATATTATATATTCATTAATATATTTTCCCAATGCCTAAAAATGTTTTCTGACCTGACACGACGTAGGTCATATGGTACATGGTGTATATATATATATATATATATATATATATATATATATATATATATATATATATACTATAATATTAAACTAACTCTTCAAAACCACTCGCGCTAGTATTCACACTACCTACCTTTACCTCACATTACCTCAGCAAAAAGCTTAGTAACAAAAGTCTTAAATGAACATTGCATTTGAGAAACACAAAGGAAAAGAACACAAAGGGGGATGAGCTTTAACTAGGTTTGCGCAGTATGATCGTCTGATGCCCTTAAATGAATATACACTCAAATTATTTAATACTGTTGTTGTACAAGCACAATCTAAAAAATGCAGCTGTCCTTTTTTGACAAATTGACCACATATCCACCTATCTTCAATATTCAGCATAATTCATGATTAATAAGTACATCATCTGTAATCATTGGCGGCCAAGACATTGATTGGCCTTTAAAAATGGGTGAACGTTTGTTTGGTGCGTGTTCCGCATTTTTCTCTCTCCATCAATTACCCATCAGGGAGGATTTTAATCTTGTCAAATTCTCTTTAAGGCACAGTCGGATCTCCACAACCTAATTTGCAGCTGAATGACACATAATACCAGATATAGAGTGTCTGTGTCGTCACTTTACAGAGCAGCAGGTGGGGGGCTGGAAAAAGAGGGTCAACGTGATCGAAATGCCGTCACACTCAACAGAACGGATACATCATTTCATCGTTTCTCTAAACACAAACTTTCAGATCGAGCTGATGATATAGATGATATTGATACATCCATCTTGCCTCGGGGACAGAAACAATGAACAATGTTTAGACCTGGCACACTCAATAACGGATATTTGCAGAACCGTAGCACAAGGTTTAAGATTGTCTATTTTCGTGATTAGTTATTTAAAAGTGAGGCCTAACATAGAAAATGTGATTGAGAGTAAATAGGCATGCCATACCAGTTTTGCTACTGGCACGGATACAGACACCGGTTGCAATTTAAAAATAATGCTCCGCAAAATTGCTGAAATAGTGAAATAGTGAAAAACTAATTTGGCTGCACATACGTATATAGGAAGAAATATTATGTGTGTAACCATGGAAATACGATTGTTATTGAAAACTTTACACACAGTGGTGAAAATTTACAATAGAAATGCAAGGCTACTCTTCTGAATTCTTAAAGTGGGAGTTGCCCAGGGTACAAAACTCAGCAGAAAACTTGTCTGAAGGCTGCTTGGGAAATTAAAAACCCCGGCCCCCTCCTCCATGTGGACGGAGTTACAGAGACCAAGAGGGGCTGAGTGATCCTTGTGTCTTTGGCTGTCGATGGGCATGCAATCAATGTAGTGTCTCACTTAAGTTTTCAGCAGCCTGTCTGGAGACTTGATGGATCCATGTTACTCAAACTAGGAAGGAGCACTCAAGGAGAGTGTTTAGAGTTGTAGAAGGAAGGAAAGACTTCAGACAAGGAAGGCGGAGGCAGGGGACAACTGGTACGAGAAAAGAGGAGGACAAAAGAGACAAACATTTAAGACAATAAAGAAAGAGAAAAAAGAAAGGAATAAATGACAATAAAAAGAGAGAAGAAAAAGAAAGGGTGGGTAGAGGGAGGCCAGGAAAAGTAAGGACGGATAAAAGAATAATACCTCGTCTGTGTGGGTGTGTATGTTTGCTTGCGCATGTGCATGGTGAGGATGCCATTTGGAATATGTTTATAGGCACTGGGTCAGACACCGAAAGTAACCCCTAAAAACTGGCAAGGCCACATGCTTCTTCTACACACACAATACATGTGTCGCCATACTTGCATTATGTAACTTGACACAAAACCAATCATGCCAAAAGTGCAAGGTTAAGGTTAGGGTAAGACTATTAATAGGGTCAGATAATCAGAGGCAGAGTGGGGCTGGTCAAGCCTTTGTCAATTTAGGACCAGCACAGCCAGCAGGAGGGATCAGTGACGTTATTTTGCATAATAATTCGTCCTTCAAACAATTGCTGTTTGTTCTCAGCAAACAAGGTGTCAGACCTTGGACTAGGTGTAAATGGGGTTAATGAGAAAGACTGTAGATCGAGAATGAAGAAAGAAAATGTCTATCAGAAGTTGTAGAGCCTTCCTCACCCGTTAAATCACAACTGTTTCTCTCTCTCTATCCTCTGTCCCTCTGCCCCCCACTCTCATTTCCGTTTTCTCCCACATGGCTATGTAACATGTAAACAACCAAGGCCAGAGGGAGATCAGAAATTCCAGTTGATCCCACAGGGGATTACGCAATAACACAGATTGACGATATGTATAAATTCAATTTACACCTTAATTAGGTCTCATCTGTCAGCCTGGTATGCAGTGCTGTTCAACAATGTAGCACCATTCAGCATCTTTACTCCACTCCACACACGCACACGTGACAATCGGAAACGCACATACACTGACCTGTTCATGGAACTCGATCCCCATACTGAGAGTATTGATGAGAATGGCAATCATAATCCCTCGTCCAAAGTACTTGCTGTCAACGATCTTCCTGAACGTGTCGCATACAAGCCTCCAGAAGTGCACCACCTTCCCTGCCGATCTGCCCAAGCTGCATTCCTGCTTCTTGGGCTGCCGGCTATCTCTCCTGTCCCTGTGGTGGAGGTCCTGGGTGAACTCGTATATGCCTTCGCTGTCGGAGTCTCCAGGCGTCTCGTTGCCCTCTGACTCGTTGGCAAGGGCCTTGGCGCAGTAGGGGCAACTCTCGGGGTCAAACGTCATAGCGGCCGTGTCCGTGGCACTGCTGGTGGCGCTGAGGTCCCGAGCCGACAGCTGGCAGGAGAGCTGGGCTGCAGCTGAGTGAGAGAAAGGTCAGATGGATAAACTACAGGAGAAATGCCGTGATATCAGAGTGATTAAGTTTACATTACATTAATCGGTTTAGACACATTTTAAAGTCAGATGGAATAGACCAATTTAAGATGCGTGTGTGTTTGATGGACAGTGTGTGATGTGAGTAATGCCTTGTCTCAACGGGCTGTTCTGTGGACAATCTGGCAGGCTGCCAGTTTTTCCACCGTTTGTACAACTTGAATGGACCTGGCAGGACTTTTTTGCTGAGCCCACAGCGTTTTTAGAACTTGTCCGGGGCCAGGTGGAGCTGGCTGTGAGCTTTGACATGAGGCATTAACATTTATTGACTCTAATTAGCACTATTTCTGTCACTCAACAAAGAGGAAAACCAAACACTAGACATGTTGACGTTAAAGTTTGTAGCTTAATTCCAACCAACCAATACGTACTCCAAATGGATGATTGGAGAAAGTGGAATTCATCCAGTGGCGTGTCCCTTGATTTGCTTGACAGCAATGAGGACGTTACCAATTGATTCTGACTGAATGACATACTCTTGTTATTTTCATATTTTTTGCCAAAGTTGTTGTGCAAAGCAAAAACTGCAGTAAATGGATTTCATCAAACAAGTTCCAAGAATGGAGATTTTTCTACCTGCGGAAGTGTGTGTGTCCACCAGGCCCGATGGCCGCCTCTCCAGGGACATGGGCAGGATGTTCAAGTTGAAGCTCATCTTAGTCAGAGTGCTGGTGGCAACACTCCCTCGTCTGGACTCCGCCAGGGTTTGAGCCTGCAGTGTGGGGTAGTTCTTAGGCCCTGGAGCGGCAAAAGGTACGGAGTTCCTCTTCATCGTCCCTGTCATGGGGCCCAGTGCAACGGATGAGGTGCCCGGTGTCGGCCCCAGGTTTGTGGTTGAGGGGCTGCACCGCAGAGTTTCTATGAGTAATACACTGTGAACCGATGATGCATTGGCAGCTCCCTCAGGAAGTTTGAACAAATTGGCCAGGTTTGTGTCAGAGGTGGCTGCTGTAATGGAAGGTGGCAGGGGAACCGCGAGATTCCCCGCGCCGGCGGTTGCTACTAGGGCCCCACTGTTGTTGTTATGTGCACCAGCCTCAAAATCCCGACCTTCCAGACATTGTATGCCCCCTGCACCCCTCACACTGCCATTACCCAGGTGGTAATGGTGGTGCAGGTGGTGATGGTGGTGGTGATGGTGTTGCGCCATTTGATGAACCGACACAGATCCCTGTCTGGAGGACTTCCTTCTCCTTCTCTGGCTGCGTTGGGGCTCCACAGGTGGGGGTGAGGCGGCAATGTTAAGCCCAGCGCGGCGAGCCAACATTCTGCAGACACGGCCCACCTGTCTGGCCCCCTTGTTGACGATGTGAACCAGATACTTGAGCAGCTCGTCGTAGCAGGAGCCCGGTTCGGAGAGGGAGGCCAGGGTGCTGGCATTGGACAAGAAGCGCACCCGTTGCTCCTTCATCAGCTGACTCTCTCGCTGCTTGGTCTCCGAGAACTGCGTGGCGATGACTACCAGGCACAGGTTGATCATGAAGAAGGAGCCAATCTGAGGGAAAGGAGGGTCGCGCAACATTGTTATTCACACACTCGGACACACACATAAGGCGGCTTGGGGCCCCGTGAAGTGGCACTTACAATGATGAGTAGGATGAAGTAGATAAAGTTGTAGAAGGAGTGAGCATCCATCACAAAGTACATGATGTCCACCCAGCCCTCCAGAGTGATCACCTGAAGACGAAACCGGGCAGAGGACCGGAATAAAGAGGTACAATGAAGAAAAACAAAAACAGGGATCAGATATATCGTATATATCCGTATATAACAAGGTAATTTAACAAGGTAATACAAATGGGAAGCAAATGAGATCATATTTCAAAGTGTTCCAATATTTCTTCAGTGTGCTTGACCACACTTGGAGAAGCAGCCACATATTTCATGGCCAAACCTTCAAAGTCAATTGACGGTTTACCTGAAAGATGGCAATCCACGCGTAGCAGATGTTGTCAAAGTTGATGGCTCCCTTAAAGGGGTTGACCAGACCGGCCGTGCAGTTGTTGTAGTACTGGTTCCAGTTGACGCAGGTGGTGTTGTCCGTGCTGTTGTGAAACTCCGAGCCCAGAGTGCATCGCAGGCCTCCTTCCTCATACACCTCGGGCACCGAGCCGCAGTCCCTTACGCCGTTCCCTCCGGGTTCGGAGCAGATGAAGGGGCTCTCGTCGTCGTTTTTGGTGTGGTAATATTTCTCTAGCTCCACAGAGAGAGGACTAGGCAGATAGAAAAGAGAGGACATTGCAGGAGTTAGCCTATACTGACTCTTATGTATTGAGAGTTGTGCTTAAAGTACGACGTAGATGTTTTGAGGTAGTACTTATTAAATATTGTTCACACTGGTGTAGAAAATGACCTGTTACCCCACTACTTTTGTCACATTCAATATGATACTTATAATTATTTCAACTAAAGCAAGGGACTGTCGCGGTGTGGTTCACTTCCTGGTATCCTGTTCCCGGGTAACTTCACTTCCTGCCTTGTCATATCATCCCCTGTGATCGTCTAATAGTTTCCACCTGTGTCCAATCACCTGCACCTCCCCTAGTGTATTTAAACCATGTGTGTCTGTTGTCACTTGTCGCGTCATTGTCTTTTGCCACGCATGGCCTTGTCTTTCGTTGCGGACGTTCGTAGTTTCTGTCTCCTGTTTTTCCCCTGGTTCCTGTGAGTTTTTGCCCCTTGGCCTTTTGCTTTAACCTTTTTGACAATTAAAGTCCCTTTTGTTTTGAACTCTGCGTCTGAGTCCTACCTCCCCGCAATCCCTGACAGGGACAGACAACTGAGTCAAAATACAAAAGGGGGCTTTATTATTCCCTCATTATTATTAATGACGGAAGAATTTCTTCATTAAAAAGCATTGTATTATCTTGAATTAAGTTTTGCCTAGTGTTAAAAGATACCCTTGGGTGAGGTGCTTTCGGCAAAGTTTGATCAATATCAATCAACATTTACAAAATGCTGATGTCTTTCTTTGGGAGGACCATCTTGTTCAACCGCGACCTGCTGATTGTCGGCCTTTGTTTTTTTGCCATTGACTAGGTGAAATTTAAAGTGGATCATCTTTAAAGTCCTCTGTACAGGTTTTAATTCATGCAAATCTTCCCACAGTTGTTTTTTTTTATTGATTACCATTCCTTCAAACAGATATAAGGAACTAATCAGCAAAGCCAGCTGTAATTGTATTGACACACCTGAGCAGGCGAGGAAGACCCCCCACGTGTGAGTTCAGAAAAGGCGTCTGTTTGCCTTCCTGCTTCCCCACCTTTTGGCTTAACTGCTACAGAGCCCTCTGCTGTATGGAATACCTGTAATGTGTGCGTGTGGTTGTGTGTCTACTGATTGTCTGATATCTGGCTTGCTTGTAAACACACATTCTCTTTCCCCGCGGCCTTTATTTATTGCCCAGTCGCAGCCAAAATAGAAGAGAACCAGTTTCACTTCAGGACCACAACAGATTTGATAACAAAGATATATCAAAGGCAGGCAGGAACGAAGATGGGTTTTGGTATTTGGAGATAGAGCCAGATGTCTATGTCATCCATCCGATGCTATAATACAGACCTTTTCTATTGCAGAAGGTAAAATAGAATAAAAAAAAGCTCACCGAAACCATTATGCATGAGCTCATAAATCCTACAGAGAGTAATGAGGCCAGGGTGACGCTGGGAACATGAATAAGTCATGGGGGCCCATGTTCCACATTCGATGATCTCTCCCATTATTCTGGGGCTCGTGGCTTGTGGCTCGTGGCTTTCCCATTCATCATAATGATAAGACTGGGATTGTGATCAACCTTTACATGTAACCCATTTGGTGTGCCGGGTACATTTTTACTCTAAAGGGTTATCTTGGCCTCCAGAGGACCTGTTTGCAATCGTGTGTTTTAGGACAATGTAGGACAGTCATGGATAAAAAAAAGAAAGATATTTTGTGTATTTTTGGAATATAGAGTGAATTATACGTAACAAATCTACAAAGAAAGGCTTTTGTGGTAAGTAAAAAAATCTAATTATAAATCCATCATAAGTATTAAAACAAGTGTTCAGATAATTTGCTGACTACAAAGCAGCAAAACTACCATTAAATAAGTAATGGATACAAATTACTTACAAACAGAGTTGATGATTGATCCGCAGATCTTCCAATTGATTAACACCTGAAGTTTTGCTTACACATAGAAAAATCATTACTATCCGGTTCTTATGCAATGAAAACACTCACTGCTCCAGCAAATAGGACAGACCTTTGATACGATTTGGCAACAAGAGATAGTGCGCTCAGCTTTGGCTCAGCTACTAGATACAGGCTTTCAATCCGTATCTAGTAGACTAGCAGCTATAACTAGCAGGTATAGCTTTCGAATAAACATGGAGTAAAAATGCAGTGTTTTTTTCCCCTCAGCTGAGATGAAATGGTACATAATAGAGATTTGAGTCCACTTTTAACATATTGGTTATTCAGAACAGTTTGGCCAAGACTCTAGCAACATTGATCTTGCAGTTAACATCAAACTGGACAAAAAAGTCAATAAACTCTCCAACAAACTGGGGGTAACACGGCGGTGCAACGTTCCCGTTGCAAAGCGTGGAACTCACAAGGAAAAGTTGCCAAGGAAGCAGCGATTCCTGAGCAGTCCGGCCCACAGTTGGACACCCACGATGCCGAAGATGAAGAAGACGAAGAAGCAGAGCAGCAGCACGTTGCCCAGCATGGGTAGAGTGTCCAGCAGCAGGGTCACCAGGATACGCATACCTGAGAGGAGAGACAGGGGCCAGGTCAAACACATTGTTCATCAATGCACATGCAGTGGACCTGTGTGTATCGGTGTGTTTGTTGCTGTTTAGTTAAACTCTGGTATGAGTAGTGGGAGTTGTGTTCATTACAGTGGTTGATATGAGTACCAATCCAAGTACCTCTCAATTTATTTCCATCCAATTTGGCTGGAACAAGACAACCATTGAGTGTCTTCATTTATTTGTTGAAATGATACATTGACCAGTGGATGCTAACTCACTTTTTAACAGTCCAAAAACAAATAATACTGATGCATGATAGAAATAATACCCTATTACACATCATAATCGAGTGAATTTAATTTATGCACCCCTGTGTTTTACATTAGTTAAACAGCTGTCCAAACCAGTTTGTTCATTGTGGCAGATGAAGAGCATGTCTGTGGGTTTCTCATAAACAATATGAGGTCTGCCTTTCAACAAACACAAGTTATTCACTCTACTCATTTGTCAGGTGGGCATTTCTGCTCAAACTGCTACAAATGAAATTAATGGTTAGTGGCATGCAGCCTGTCAGTCATGCTCCTCTGCCAAATAACACCTGTTATGTTCTAACCTTTATTGACATTTGCAACTGTTCAACTGTGAGCCTCAGGCATAAATGAGCAGCGTGCTTCAGAGGTCTTTACAAGCTCACTTCTTTCTATCGTTCTCAACAAGATCTCTTTATCAATATTCCAGTTGCCCGTCCCAAACTTCACTGGCTAAAATGGCATCACTGGAGGTGATTTATCAGATTTCACAGAGCTAGGTCTGGAGAAACAAAAAAGGAAAAAAAGATTAAAAGTAGGTTTTATTTGTTAGTTGTTTTTGTTGACTGACTTTTATTTTCCTTTGGTTGTCACTGCTGCTTTAATAGCACAGCATTTAATAGCACCGCGTTGTTCTTTACATCCCATGTCAATGCTCCTTCCAGTGTAATGTGGTGGTGTTAGCTACAGGCACATGGTATGTGGTAGTGCTTATTGCTCCATAAGTAACTACATGATTCACTGCATCAGCTGTGGGTGTGACTGTTTGTTACTGGGTAGATATGAAGCAGGGCATTGTATAAAACAGAGCATGTGCTCAGCAACATCCTTTTTCGGATGAATAAAGCCTTGAAATGCATCCGGATAGCACAACACGAGTCCTGAGTCAGACCGAAGTGCAGAGATTTGTTAGCAGTCTGTGACTGTGTCAGCGATACATTTACACTTTGCTCTGAATTAAAGCCCAAAGAAAGACCTGCTTATTTTTCCGCCTTTCATACAGTACATGCCTGAATCTGTCATCTCTGAACAGTGTTCCCGCAAGTTTCTAAAAGACACACACAGAAGCAGACACACATTTCCTGCCGCCCACACACTCCCTCTGCTGAATCTGTCTGTGTCCCTCGCTGCAGATTTTCTTTTCCTGCACTGCGTTTCTTCATTTTTTTTTAACTATTCATCTATCTAGCAGTGGTAAAGTTTAATGTGAAAATGGTTTACTGTGAAAATGGTATTCAGTGAAGCATGAATAGGGGGTGCTACAACAATTTAATTTGTAGAATAAAAAAATGAAAATCAGTGAGGCAAAAAAAGAAATGTGACAGGAAGATAAAAAAAAATTATAAACAAATCGAGGGATTGGAACTTTTGGAGTTGTGAGATGGATAATCGTCAGGGGGACAGCTAGTTACAGTTAGCTGTGTGTGGACAGCACATGTCATCCATCTATCTATCATATCCATTACTCCATTCATCCATTCATTAATCCATCAAGCCATACATGGATCTATGTATCCATTCATCTCTAAATGTATTCATCCATCCATCCATCGGTCCTCCATGCATGTTGTTACCACTGTGTTATTTATCTGTCGTTGTCCTTTGTCTCTCTTTCCCTCTTCGTCCTTGCAGGCTACCCTGCTGGCAGACACCCTGCTAGCCAGGCATCAATAACGAGGACCATAGCTTCTGATCAGGGGTTTTCTGGGTAATTGGAGAGGCCAGGACAGTCCATATTGGAGCGATGTCTTTGGTCCTCTGCCAAGCGGACAGCCAAGGAGAAAAAACACATGAGACGGAAGGTAGGACGCAGCGAAAGAGAGAAGGCCAAACGGAGACGGGGCAGCAAGGAAACGAGAGAGATGAAGGGTACCCCTTCAGATGAACTCAATAATGCATATGTTATGGTAATGCTTGTTCCCTTATATGCATGTAAAGGGCTTGTTCAGAAAAATGTGTAAAAAAACAATTCATGTTCTCACACCTTTCAACTAAACCGTGCCATCTGAGAGTGTCACACAGAACTGCATGAGGAACTTCTCCTATTTGTATATTCTGATTGCACACTGAGACTTTTGGTCTTGACAGATGGATGGAAAAGAAGGAGGATTTTGCAAATTCGCCAAGATGCGGGGAACAAATGAGGAGGATACAGCCTACTGATGGCCCCTGGAATGAGTGAGGGCGAGCAGCGGCTGCGCGACGATGGCAGCAGTCGGAACGCAGAAATTCTTGAATGACACACAGCACTGTTTTCAAGTTATTTCATGCCTATAATAGCTGCCACATTATGCACTGGATGCTCAATTACCAGCGCAGCATACGGCGTATACAATCAGCGTGAGATGAGAGTCATGAAGACAACATATCTCATAGCGCCACTGTTGTTTAATGCTGTACTACGGCTCTGTTTACGAGGGAATCATCGTGCTGTTCATTCAAGAGTAGCAAAACCAGTGCGGGAAGTTGTGTAAAAATCCTGAGGCAATTTGTCGCCACTTGCCCTTTTGTGGGACATTTGTTCAACTAATTGCCCCGAATTCACAGGGTGAGAGTGACGATGCAGCCGCTGTCACGGACATTAAGCGGCTCGTGCACGGGAAGACCTGACTCTCTACCCACAAGAGCGGCTTCCTCTCTTTCTCCCTCTCTAAAGTGTTAAGAAGCAGTGCATTCTCTCTCTCACACACACACTAATGTGCTGAGCTGTTAGGATGCTGCTTAGCCAGGCCTGAGTGGCAGCAGCTGGGATTAGCGAGCGCAGTGGGCCGAGGCGCGCTAACTGGCTCCATGCGGCACCATTCAGAGGGGCAGATACGTCGGAGCGTATAATACTTGAACTGCAGCCCACATCTGACAGCTGTGGCCCCGCAGAACTAATAATTCTAACTTATTTTGCCTTGAGTAGTGGTGTTGGCGATTCACCCCTTCCAGTCCAAACCGTCACCGGTGCGTGGTTGGTCGGTCCTTGATCTGTCCTGGGCTAAATAAGTACTAATGCAAAACCTGTGAGTGACATGATTTGGACTATTATTACATAAAGTTATGTTTATTCATTATTTCTTCATAAAATACACTGCATGTAATGCCAATGGTTGGCGAGAATGGATCCTGGACCTTCTTTTAATCCCTTCAATTGCAAATTTGGTCACAATAAGAAAGGCAAACTCCTCTTACATTTTACATGTGGTCTTTATATACCCAGCGTTGGTATAGGGCCAAAAAATGATTTTGTGGCAAAAGTTACTATTTTAAGGACTGACGCTATTTCGATGGGGATCAAAGCATCAGACAATAAATTGACTGGACGAGAGTCCCATGCAGAGACAACACGTCAAGCAGGGCCGTCGGCAAATATGAATATCATAGAAAGCACCTCTGTTCATCCAGATAAGCAAATCAATGCTTTCCCGACCTGAATTGCGTGCTCATTCCAACCGATCGGCACTTCATATTCAATAACAATCATCTCCACCTCCGCCTGCGTGCCCTCTCCAACCTCGCTGTGGGCGCCCGCTCCGACAGGGCTGGTGGGCAGGAGGCCGCGTGTGGTCAGGGAGCCATCTGTTTTTTAGGCATATTAGGTCTGCTTCCTCTGCTTACCTGTCCAGGTCCAGCTCCGTGAACTAATGGGCGTGGAGATCTGCGTCTCTTCTCATTTGCTCAGAGCGGATGGTCACCAGCTCCATGTCAACGGCTCCAGATGGAGACGACTAAATGACCCCAAAGGCGATACGTGAAATCGCATGAGCGATCTATGTGACCCGCAAAGAGAGGATCACATGCAGAGCATAAGATGAGAACTGATGGAGAGAAAGGAGGGCGGAGAACATTTCTGAACTCTGTTGGCTTCATTTACCACAGTCAGTTAACTTGATTTTGTTTGCAGCAATTTGTATAAAATATCTGATCTCTCTCAGAGCTTATGTTGACGGTCATTTCTACAAAATTGGATCTAATAATGTTCCTCACCTGCAACCTATCTGCACACCTCACCGTTTGTGAAATCCCCAAAAAATGTTAGTTAGAATTTCTACACAATCTCTAACTTTACTTCCAATCATGTCAGATCTTAACAAATGTTAATTTCCATATTACATAAATAAATAATTGGAATACAATATTTGTCTCCATAAGTCAATGCACTGATAAATACTGTTTGCTGAACAATCTTTACTTTTGGTGCCCCAACTCGAGTCCAAGTAGCTTTTTCGCCTCCCAACTTATAGTTATGCAACTGTATCTTTACAAACCATCATTTTCTGTGTTTTCCTGCAAATCTGAGCAGCCAGTGCACCTGCGTCAGCACCTTGTTGTGATTAGGCAACAAAACCACTGCGTTAGATCTTGTCGATGCTGACGTCTGGTTTCACGTGGGACCTGAGCAGTAGCCACCTTATGGGAAGCCCTTTGTTATCTCTGTAAAGATGTAAGCATGACTGTTCGACAAATACATAAAATTCCCCAAAAGATATTCGTTTCTACAACATCCCACTTGGACTAAAACATTCACATCATGATCCGTTGTGCCTTCCACCTTGGCACATCAAGACGCTCAAAAGCATTTCTTAAAACAGCACAGTCACTTTGAAGAACCACAGCGGAGTTGGGGAGATGGCTGCGTACCTGACAGGCTATCTGGGAATATCGCACCACAGCACGACTCAGAGTCATCAAAGAACTTGAATTTCAAGCTTTAAAAATCTGA